CTTTTATATTTGGGTCTCAATTTTATGTGATTGTAACCATTAGTGTGACTTCGAGCAGAATGGATATAAGCAGAGCAACTATAAGCAGAGAAAATCTGCAAAAGTGAAGAACTATATTCATCAAAATTATTGTTTAGTGGGACCTTCTTTAATTGTACAGGCCTTACCTAATTTAAGTAAATAAGAATGGGATTTTCAAAAACATTCAACAGTTTTTTCTGCCAAAACAAACTGGTATCCCTTGGGCATCATAGAAAGGAAAGCCATACTGGAAACCTTGTTTCTTGCAGGGACAAGTTTATTTTTAAATTTTGCGTCTGTGCTGAAATCACAGTTTCAGAAAATTGTAGCAATAATGATGCAAAATGTCATTAAATTGGAACGCAGCCAACATGCGCAGATGGAAAATTTCAGTGTGTAGGCAATTTATGGAAGTCTGGAAGGAAAGAAGCTTGTAGGCCTAATCATATATATATATATTCTTGCTTATATTGATGGCAAGCTTTTCTTCACTGTTGCACTGACTCTACTTAATAATGATCAGTTAAGTTTAGCATCTATTTTACCTAAAAATATTAGTTTTTCCCCAGTTTGACAAAACAGTTAGGCCTATTCATCACAAAGCTTCAAATCAAGTTCTAAGTCCTCAATTTCATCAAGAACTTCTTTTTTTCGAGTAACTTTGTCATTTTGCTCCTTTTCTAGCTCTTTTATTTCTCCGTTTGCCACTTTCTTTTCAAGGTCTTCTATTTGCCTAAGTTTTTTCTTCAAGTTTTTCAGCTTCTTTGTAATAGCATCCTTGGATAATTTAGGCGATTCGTCTTTGATATCTTCCTTTATATCTAGCTTTTTTACAGCAGTAGCTAGCTGTTGAGTTTTGTTTTCTTCAGAAGCTGCTTTTGTATCAATTTCTTGTTGTTTCTTTTGCTTCTTTCTTTCGTTCTTTTTCTGATTTTTACTCTTTTTCGAGTCAGCACTTTCTACGCTAATTCCAGGAGGCAGTGACGATCTATTCGCAGCTGCCTCTCGTCCTCTACTTTGATACCTTTCAACTTCATCAGGTGGAACGTATCCTGCTTTAACTCTGATTTCTTTTCTCCAAGTTCCATCCGGTCTTTTTGATGCTGGTATTATTGTTACATCTGATTGTTTGTCCGCCATTTTAAAAATCGTACGCCTAGATGATTACGAGGCCAAGCCTCCTTATTATGATTGATCCTTCTTTCTGACAAAATATTATCCCATGTGAACGTAGAGTGGTCTGTTGATGTAACAGAAATTGTTCAACATGGTAAAGCTGAACGTTTCTCTGCTTAGATACATGTCTAAAGAAGACTTTAGAATCTTAACAGCCGTAAGTTTTGTCATTTTCGAAGTTTTATGTAACACGATGAGCACCTACCGGTAACTAGGGGTTGTCTTTTCTCTATCGTAAACCTGCATGAAAGTTAAATGTATATATTTGATGTAAGTGTTTTTTCCTATAACTAGATACCCTCCTTACTGCCTTCATAAGTTTATGTTCCTTTATTCCTTACCTCTGTCCTTCCATCTTCCCTTCCTTGTGCATTTTTGGGTCCGAAATCTGGATGTATGAGAGATAATTTCAAAGTGCTACATGAACTTAACTTTATGAAAACTCTGACTTTGTTTGCTTAGGTTGAGATGGGAATGAAGAATCATGAAATTGTTCCAATGTCACTTATAATTCAAATTGCCAATCTGAAGCATGGCGGTTGCCACAAAATTATAAAAGAGCTTGTCAGGAAAAAGTTGCTGGCATATGATAACTCAAAGCAAGGTAAAATTCCTCACTACTCTCAAAGGCTGTCAATGTGTAATTGGTTATCAGCCCCAAGCTAAAGGGTTGTACTGGGAAAACCTCTATGAGCTTGCTTCTGGAAATCTGGAACCAATATGTTGAAGGATGGTTTTTAGGAGCAGAGAAAAGCAGCTGAAGGATGCTTTTTATTTATCAATTCGACTTACGGCCTCATTTTGAAAAATTCTTCACATTATTTTGTACAAAATTTTTTACCACAGATTCGGATTACGAGCAATGATTTTAGTCTACTTGGAAGTTTTCGTGATGATATTGCTCATGATATTGATTTTATGACGACAAAAAGATAAAAATTTTATAAGGGATTTGACCGTGATTGGCGACTAGGGGGGTAAAGTTTCCCCCTGAATGATTTTTGCGGTCAAATCCCTTACAAGTTTTCAAACTTCATTTCTCCGTAAAATCTAAAATACAAGCACAAGCAATATGAAAAATTGTATCTGGCCTAAAATTATGATGATAAAACCAAATTTGAGCTTTAAAAAGTTGTATAATTAGGTTAGGAGAAATTTTCAAAACAAGGCCGTAAGTCGAATTGGTGTAATGGTAGAAGTTTTCTTAGCATCATAGTTGGATATTTGTTGCTAACTTTCATTAACCTTTGGAAAAGTGTCTACTATGATAAAGATGTACTGCTGGTAGCAAAATGAATGTACACATACAGAATTTTACAAGAACAGTAAATACCTGTACCAGTTATTTTACCAAAGTACATTTTAACTTATATGTTGCAGAAAGGTATAGTTATGTAGTCTTATGCTATTTATCGTTTTGAACTGGACTGCTGTAAATTGCTACTTCCCAATATCACACCTAATGTGACCTAGCTTTTCGGTTGTGTAGTCTTATGTCAGTTTCACACAAAAATTTCCTGTGCAGGATCTGGCTACAGAATCACTTATAGTGGATATGATTACTTGGCTCTGAAAACACTGACAGCAAGAAATGTTATACATTCAGTTGGAAATCAAATTGGAATGGGAAAAGAATCAGGCTAGTTATCTGCTTGTATTTCTGATAAATAACAATATTTTTGTTGCAACAACACAAAGCTGGAGAAATGGATGTTAGTCCATGAGCTTTATTGTGGAATTACAATTTAAGCACAGATTTGATCTTGATTGCAGTCATGACTGTGATGAGGGTATTTTCTTATATAGTTGATATTTCCTCCCATATTTCAAGCCTTATTCTTTAAATATATGCGTGATTCTTTATAAATCTGTTATCTTATTGCTATAAAGATATGTGCAATAAAACTTACTGTTTACTGGTCTGGCATCATAAAGTACTTGATGCAGCATAGACAAAGCTGTACACCCTTTAAGTGTATAGAACAAGATAGTTCTAAGCTGCTACTCTGTGTTTCATTGTTGATGCAATCATCAATCTGGGACACAGGCAATATGGAAAGTGATTTTGCAGATTCACAATAAACATTTTCAGAAAACAGCACTTAACAATGTGGTCAAAAAAGACTATAAAATGAAATATTTAATTTTGCAGATGTTTACATCGTTGCTGATGAAGAAGGAAAACAATATGCAATGAAATTACACAGGTAACCAGGATTTCATATGAAAGTTTATCATTGGATATAAAGAACCTATAAATCTAATAAAATATGTCATATTTAATACAAAACGCTGCATGTGTCATATGTGCTGTTGAAGTCTGCTTCATTTCTTAAAAACAGTTAGCAGGCTATGCACATGCTCCTTTCATCATTGACAGATTTAGCAAGAAGTGTAATGGTTATAAGACCACCATCAAAAATTTCCTCTCTTTTCTATTGACATTTAAAGCCTTTTTCTTTTAAGTGCTAGCTAGATATTTCTTACCTATAGTGAATTTACCAAGCGAAGTAACAAACTAATTAAGCCTCAGTTTGCAACAACCCAAAACCTACTTTAAACAGTCACTGTATGACTCTGTATGTACCCCGTTATATTGTGTCATGCCATATTTTAACTCCTGATCATTATTGTATCCTTGCATTGAAACCTGCCCCCAGCTAATAGTGCTATTTTATTTTCAACATTCATGCTTTTTTAAGACTAGGGAGGACATCATTTAGAAAACTGAAGATAAAACGAGATTATCATTGCCATCGTAACACAGCATCATGGTTGTACCTGTCAAGATTAGCAGCAGTAAAGGAGTTTGCTTATATGAAGGTTAATGCTTTTGATTATTTCAAGGCTCCATAACCCAAAATGTGACTTTTTTTCTATGAATGAGTGCCACCTTCAAATGAGCACACTTTTTGATTAAGCTCTCCCTAAAACAGCATGGATTCAAAGGGTGCTCATTAGAGAATTTACAGCAAATAATATCTGGTGTGATTAAAAGTTGTTGATTAAGTGATCAGTGAATGATTTTGTGATAAAAAATTAGCTATTTAGTCATTCTGTCCCTGTATCTTATAATGATTGAGGAAATAGTTTAATTTGATGCAGCTATTCATTGCACCCATCTGCTGCTAAACACATTGGAGGTTATTCATAGCTTCTTTCTTCTTTAAATTTTCATTGAAAATTAAGTTAATTTTCCTAAATTTCCAAATAAAAGTTCAAAATGGGTTCAAACTTTGTTCCAAAAATCCAGATATTATTAAAATATGTATTTGGTAAAAATTCTACGAATAAAGAAGAACAATTGACCTTAATGTGTCCTAGATTTAAATATGAAGAAGGTTCGTTTATTCTTTTTGGATATTTTCGTTATCACTAGGAGGCTAGACAAAGATGCTTTCTTTGTCACACTTTTATAGGAAAAGCCGCCTCTCAATTATTTGGTTAAAGGAAAGTTCACTATTTGTTGCAAATTTAAGATAAATTGTTGAAATTATCAAGACACTAGCTTCCTCCTATGGGGGGGGGGGGGGGGGGTAGTCCTCTTTCTGTTTCTCTGATTATCATATGGTGTAATTCGTCGGCGATCGTACAGACTTACACCGTATGCTCTCATATTGTTTTTTTGAAAAGTTCAGGAGCGTTGGATACTCTGCTAAGTTAAGATTACCTTTAGTTTTCGAAGCGAAATAGCCCCTTGTAACATTTTGAAACCTTTGAAAGCATAAGCGATGGTCTGAGGTGAACGCCGATGAATGACACACACTAAAACCAGCTTTTAGGCACATTTGTTCAGAACACATGAAAATATATCTTACAGCTAATGTTCATATTCCTTTCTTATTCATTCTCAAAGGCATTGTACGATAATGACTTTCCTGTGCCAAAACCAATTGACTTCAACAGACATTGCGTTATAATGGAACTCATGGATGCTCATCCATTGTAAGTAATGTTTTGCTGTTTTGATATGCCGGGTTTTTCTGCTTTTAATTTGGTAGGTTGCCATGCCTTGTCTTCTACTCGTGAAGTCACGGCTTTGGGCTAACTATGGCTTTGGGCTATCCAGGGCAGTACCACTGCTCTCACCCTGAGGGGTTGTTTTTCACCTAAGGATTTGGCAACTGCGTGAAAGCAGCCAGTAAGTGGATGCTCTGAGTGATAGGGTACAGTTACCTCTCGTATACACTTAATGAGCAAACCTTTTTTACATCATTGCAGTCGTAGTTTTAATATTTGTTACGTCGGAAGCAGGCCTGGCCATAAGACTTTTAAAAGGGGAGCGGTAAACCGCTCTCCTAGTAGTATTCAGGTGAGCTATAAGAACAGAAACAAAGGAAAAATTGATTTCAAGGAGAGCAAATTTGCCTTTTAGAACAATTTAGGAGAGCAATCTCTAGCTTCCCTCCTGCGTATGAGGAGAGCCTGGAGAGGAGCAAGAGCTATGGCTCTCCACAAATGACAAGGCCTGGTTGGGAGTATTCCGTCGGAGATCGAGTTCCATATTCGGCTACATCTATATAACACGGTATAAAATTAATGTTTGTCTTTAAATGACTCCGTTGTTTTTTAAAAAATGAATTTATCTTATTTGCTTGCAGGTGTCAAATAGGTGAAATGAATTCACCTTCATCTGTATTCAATGATTGTATGGAATTAATCCTGACGCTTGGCAGTTTTGGCTTGATCCATTGCGACTTTAACGAATTCAATCTTATGGTTGATGATAATGAAAATGTGAAGGTCATCGATTTCCCGCAAATGGTCTCGATTTCACATATCAATGCTGAGATGTAAGTTAAACCTTTGATAGATATGTTAAATCTTTACGCTTAATACATTTATATATCCAATGCTGCTTTACAATTGCGAGATCTGGACCTTAACCAAGAAATTGGAAGAAAGTCTCGATATCTTTCAAAGAAAACTGCTACGTAGGATGCTAAACATCAAATTAATGGATAAAATAAGAAATGAAGAAATATATAAAAGATCACATCAGACAACCATCACAACCGAAATAAAGAAACGGCGATTAAACTGGCTTGGGCACATGTAAAGGTTGCCAGAAAGAACACCAGCAAAATTAGCTTTCAAAGAACATTTGAAAAAAGTGAAGGGTAATCGGGGAAGACCAAAACAGACATGGATCAGACAAATGAATAAAGACCTGAAACCAATAAATAAAACAGTGGATGAACTAACTGAGAACGATTATGAGCGAAAGGAATGGAAGAAAACAGTGGCAAGGCTAATGTCTTGAATTAAGACGGAAGAGCCAGTAAAAAGAAGAATAAGAAGATATGTCTCCCCCAAATCAACTTATTAACGAGACAAGGTTAACATGCCGAAAAAACCTTTTTTAAAAAGGTGCTTTTTCTTTTTTTGTCTCATTCATTGAAGTCGTTCATTCATTGCTTCATTTTTGCTTCATTTTTGCTTCCTTCTGACGTCAAAACTGTAGTTAAAAGCTTATCGTTGTAAAAGTTTCTCTTTACTTCATACATTTACAGCCCCTGCTAATACGGCAGACACTTTATAAAGCAGTTTCGTAACGTTTTTGCAGCATAATAGCATTTGTGGCCATGGACTCCATAGCGCGAAAGTAATCATTTTGCAGTTTTCTCTTTGTCGCCGTGGCAGGGCTTTTGTTCTCAGTTTGCGTCAATGATTGTATTGCCCATCCGATTTTATCAAAGATTTGCCACTTGAAGTAATTTTCGATTCATATGAAATAGCATTTTCAGGCCTTTGTGACACCTTTTTTCTTCATTTGCTACTTGCACGATATTTTACGTATTTTATCAATGCAATTATGCAAAAATTTCAATATTTTTCGTCTGTTATTACACCTAATTACCCTGCATCAGGCAGGTAATTTGCCTGCTCTGCTTCGACCTAGCCTTTCAGTTTCTTTAAATATGGAGACGATGACAGAGCAGGAAAAACTCTACAGCTCACACATGCAATTCAAATTTGTGCACTATCATTGTTTTAAAGAACGTAAAAAGATCCACTCGTGTTCCCTGGCTATCAAAGGCTTTTCTGTTTGCGCTGGATCTTTGACTAATTATTTGTGGCTTTGCGTAAAACTGTAAGAGGATTGTGAAGAACAAATTCTTGGAAGGTTAGTCTGCTTCAAGCGTTGCTCTATTTATAAACGCTGGGTGTAGCCTGCAGGGCCAAGTTAACATGAAGAATAACAAGGCAATACTAAAAAAGACTTATGATATGGGTCATTCCAATGTCTATGACGACAAGCAAAGGTTGCAGGCGCGTAATGAATTGGAAGACCACAAGCTAGACGATCGACTTAAAAAACTAAAAAAGGAGCATGCAAGAAATATCGTGAAAATTGATGAAATAATTTTGGAAGATAAACAGAAGCTAAGTAATGCAGGCTTAAGTGGACGATGGAGGCTGCGTCGAAAGTCTGAAGGGCAGCAAAAGGTGAGCTCATTGCATGCTGGGCTACTAGGGAACAGAAAAGCTCGCTCGCTGGAGAGCTCTCTTCCTACCAATCAATCGACGTCTCCGCATAGATCAAAAGCATTGGGCAGAGAAAAGTCAGGTTGGAAATTTGGAAAACCTTCAGCTATTGAAACCTGTATGAAAAAGAGAGAAACCGTATCTGCTAAAGTCCCAAAGAAAGTTGATGGGACTGTTGTTAGACCCCAGCTAGTAAGACGTATGAATTTCAACGTGGATTTGAAAGAGTGTCAAAATCTGGGAGAGGGCAGCCAGGATTTTGTAGATTTACCGATGATTATAATCAGTGACATCTGCGGCAGTGAATATGGCGACGATGATGGTTGCAAAAATTATAGCCCGATTAATGGGTTTCAGGAAGGGACAGGCGGCTGTGAAGGAGTGAGAAGGTCATCAATGCCAAAAGATGTAAATGACTCATTAGCGACGCAGGGAAATGTTCATGAAGTTGATGAGAGTCAAACCTGTGTATCAGGAAGATCTGAAATGCAAAGCTGTAAGAAAGGAGGTTTACACCGTGATATCAGAGGCTGTGACTGTGTTTCGAAGAACGAAACTCAGAGAAAAGAACTTCGAAAACGGTCCTTTTCTCGGGTACCAGATGCTGCGGTTTGGAATTCCAAAGGTATTTTCCAGCAAGCCAATGTACCAGCAGAAAGGCTAAGATCACGAAACAATAGAATCTCGCATTCTGATCGGTTAGCGTCCAAATCAAAGAAATCAGAGGGCAGCGATCGTGACATATCAGAACCAGAGGTTTGTGAACGATTAAAAAGTATTCAACGAAAAGCAGAGCGAACTGGTGAAACCTGTCCACGCAAAGCTACTAGTCTTACAGAGTCAATGCAGATAGGTAAAAACAAAACAAACGATGCTAATGAGCCCAAGGCAATTCTTCCAAGGTTTGGCTCTCTGAAAGGACGCGCTTTGACAAGAGCAGTACCAGTTCTGGATGTGAGGACTAAACCAAAACGAGGCTGCAACTTGAATCAAGATTTTACGATGAGAAAAAATACGTACTGTAAAGGGTTGATCGACACAAGTGAACTACTGGTTCAGAAATCGAGGAAGTTTGATCGTGGAAAAAGCAGCATTAACCCGTCGCCATCTTCAAGCAGCCAAGAAAATGATCGAAAAGTCATCTGTCAACAATCGGAAGGAAAAGACATTGCTGTCACAATAAAACGTGATTGCAGAGGTTTTAACAGAGGGCGTTCTGCAGGCAGAAGGTCAACAATATTGAAGAATTAGCTAAATTAAGAACGATTCTTGAATTTTTAATAGATTTAAAAATTGTAGATATCATGCCATAAACTTTGACATTAATTGATGTATCACGATTTATGGTGATATGTTTGATTATATTTGATTTAATCTATGAAAAGCTGTATATTTGCTAATGTTGTTGCCTGCACACATTCAAACCTTTTCCTCTTGTAACTTGAAACGGAATCAATTCTGTGTTTTTCGAATCCCCGATCATGTTTTTTAGTTTGAAAGGACATACATAGCACCATCGCTCTTAATTGGCTTAGGCCGAGCTACTTGCACATTGATTGGTTTAGACCGAGCTACTTGCGCATTGATTGGTTTAGACCGAGCTACTTGTGCATTGATTGGTTTAGACCGAGCTACTTGCGCATTGATTTTTTTTTTTTTTTTTTTTGTGAACAAATAAATTCTCATCAATGATTCAACATTTGGCGCTGTTTATATACCGAAAGGCCGCCGGTTCACAAATGTTTAGAACAAAACTTGAAAAACTTGAATCTTTTTATTTTTCCCAACAATTTTAACTAATCAATCCGGGATATTGTTTGTACAATTTCTATGTTGGCTGTGTCCACTTGAACTTTTGTTTGCCTATTTCTGGAACCGCGTATGCACAGTATGGCACTTCGGAGTAGTGCAAATGACAGCTTGGTACGAATCCAATTGGTAACCAGTGAAATTGATTGCGCATTGATTGGTTTAGACCGAGCTACTTGCGCATTGATTGGTTTAGAACGAGCTACTTGCGCGTTGATTGGTTTAGACCGAGCTACTTGCACATTGATTGGTTTAGACCGAGCTACTTGCACGTTGATTGGCTTAGACCGAGTTACTTGCGCATTGATTGGTTTAGAACGAGCTACTTGCACGTTGATTGGCTTAGACCGAGTTACTTGCGCATTGATTGGTTTAGAACGAGCTACTGTTACACATGGATTCTGATGTTTGAACGTATAAGACAACGTTTTGAAATCTAGCGCAACACCAAAATATTGATGTTTTGTTAATTCAATGAAAAACATAATATCAACGATTATTGTAAATTGCGCATGGCAGAGGTAATATTTTAAATTGTTTATATTAAAAGTTATGAGTACTTGTATTGAAAATTGTAGGTACTTTGATCGAGATGTTCAGTGCATGCGAGATTTCTTCCGTCGTCGTTTTGGATTCGAGAGCGAAATATTTCCAAAATTTGAGGATATCAGGTAATTTTACTTCTGTTGTAGTTTTTAGAGCAGGTCGAGAGTTTCAAGATGCTTGGTATTAAAAATATTTCAAAACTGAGTTAACTACAGGTTTGGGACTGCTGTGCTGGTGTTGGGTACTGAGCCTTGCACCGATAGAAGACGCTGCTCAATAACTTTGCAACCACTTCATGTCAATTTTCATTCTTTAGCAGGGATAGGAGAGGCTTTTCACTGTCTTTGCAACCATTTCATATATATTTCCCTGATTTACTTTTGATAAAAGACGCTGTTCTATATCTTAGCGACAAGGATGAGGTCAGAAGGATATTGAAGTTAAAAATCATTCTCTCACCTTTTATATTGAACGTCTATTAGCTGTTTTTTTTACTGTGCATGTGCAGTTTTCTTCTTTTTTTCTGTCGGAGATATAAAATCTACTTTATAAAAATTGATTAAGCCGTTAAGAATAAGCATGATATTTAGTATATCTAGAAATATTTATTACTGTAGAAATATCAATTTGCTGCTAGACATTTTAGGCCCTTGGAATTTTCTTTGATGAGATAATAGGGGAGTCTTTCGTTCTGATTTACTTCTTAACAATTAGCTATGGTGCACTTCATTCGCACACTCAAAGCTCACTGACTGCTTCCTGGTAATCAGATTTTTCGTTTACAGGCGGATGCATAATCTCGACAAAGAAGTAGCTGCTAGTGGTTTTTCTAAAGAAATGGAGGTAGAGTTCGATGAGGTATAGTTACTTAAAATATTCTCAACATCTGTACGCTGCGATGTTTAGTAATTCAGAAACAGAGAAATCACCATACTACACAGCTTTAAAAAAGTATTTTGCTCAAAAATAAAACTGTTGTTGAAATAAAATCCTTGATTGGGAAATTCCTGTCAAAGCTCCTGGAAGCTTTTCTTCATATTTTCGATGAACCCTTTTAAAACAGTATTTATACGCTATTTCTGAACTAAAGAGCGTAGCCTGTTGTAATAAGAAAGTTTTCAACCGAAAGCTATTTTGGTGTAGTATGAATCAAGACTAGTAAAAATATTGATGCTAATTAAATAGATTTTCCATTTCTGCTCTGTATATAATCAGTTGTGAGTTTGGGTGTTTCTACTATTTTTTGGAAAACGATAATTTTGATCAAACAGCTAAAAACGCCTTAGTTTGAAATGTGTCAAAGAATTTAAAACAGATTTTTAGGGCACAACTTGTGTGCTTGGCTTCAGCTTTGATACCAAAAGCCACGAAATGATCCTATTATGCCTGGTAGTTTACACCGTTTATTAGTACAACTGATAATATTAAAAAGGTGAAGACTTTTAATGGTATTTCCCTGAACATGCTATTTTTCCCAAAGCAATTTTTAACTAAATTGTGTCTTAAGGATTTTTGCAGGCATTCGTAAGGATTTTTGCAGGCATTTTCATATGGCTGTTTAAAGTGCTCAAATTATCGGAGCGATTAAAAATAACATTCAAGGTTACAAAACAGTGCCATCATCTTTTTAAAGGTTGTCAAAGATTTGGAACCTGGCGATGACGCTGATGTAGATGATGACTGCGAAGATGACAACAAATCCGAAGACCTCAGTGACGGTGACCAAGAAAGCCCCGAAAATAACGAACTTGATAAAAGCGAAGACAGACAAACGGGTAACTATAGTCAATTGTAGCTTTGCTTTTTGGCTGTTTGCGGGTACGGCAATTTTTTTAATGCCCGTACTGCTATAATTCTCTTTTTCTTAAGAAATATAAGAACTTACTGCAATTATAATCTATTTCCTCATATAATTTCAGTTTTAGTTTTATCGTATGTTCGTGTCAATCTCTATTAAATGTTTTCATGTTGCGTCTTTTATGAATGTTCTCGCAAATTTTCCATTGATTTATCAGCTTATATTCACGAGAATACTCGAGCATTTTCCAGCATTATTTTTAGGTAAATTTTCGCTAAAACTCAACCGATGCCTTGAGCACAGTACGGGGGGTTGTGTCTCCTTAAAATCTTAAGATTTGAGCCAAAATTTCTTACTGGCTTTTGTAATTTTTAGTTTATATTGCAGGTTCCCCCTAATTTTTCTTCTCTTTTCAAGATCCACTTTTTCTTCTAAATTATAACAGCCTGAGGTTAGCTATCCTTGTTTACTGATTGCAGCGTTAAACTCTCCATAAATTTCTGTAGCTTTTATTTTAGCATCAACATCAAAGGACGAGCACAAAGAATCAGAAAGCCAAGAAGGCTCGGAAGTGTCGTCTAGTTCAGGGTCGGAAGAATCAGATTCAGAGGCATTAACGAATAAAAACAGAGAGCAAAAACCGTTTAGAGACAACCAGGATGAAACCGAGGCTGCAGAGGCAGACACGAGACCTCGGTCAGTGCGACGTCGTGAGGTGCTTAATGAAGGTGAAATAAAAAGGCGAGTTAAGAAGACAATAACGGACAGAAAAAAGCTAGAGAGAAAACGAAGACTTAGAAAGGGAGAGTCAAGTGTTGTAACGAAATCAAGAAACGAAAACAGAATTATAATAAAGGAAGAGCAAGATCAGTAGAGTAGAGAAAATAAAAGCTTTTTGTACCAAGGCCTCTTTGTCCTGCTTAGATTGTCACATGCAAGACCTACTTAGTGAGCCTCTATTTCGCTAATGAATTTCGGAGATATTAGAGTATTTTGTCGTTTTCAGATCGGTTGTTCACAACAAAGTCTTTCTAAGCTATTTCAAACAATCGACTTATGAAAAAGGTTACAGAAAACAAGTTTATTCGATCGCGTATTAGCAAGTAACTCTAGTAAGGCTACTAAGGATGTATTTGATATATATTTTAAAAAATGAGCCTCAACATTGGACAGTTTTCCCAACCATTTCGTACTCTATAGTCGCTTGAAATATTAACGTTTATTCTTGCAAATCTTTTCGAACACCAACACAAAAATCCAACAATCTTTTCAACTTGCTTTCCCTGCTTCCATTACAATATTGCTAAAATTGAATTATCAATGTTGCCACTAAAATTCTAATTCGCGTTGGCTTTACAATTGTCTTTACTAAAGGAAACTAAATTGGTATAGGGAGTGGAGAATACTTTTGCAACAAGTCTGATAACTTGAAGTGGTGGCACAAAGCTGGTATCGTAAATTCTGAGACTGTACTATAACGGTGTCTCAATCATTTACATCGTTAAGACCACAGCAACGGTGGTATCATGAAAGCTCAGAGATGACTACTGAGAAACAAACTTTTCTTATAATTTAGTAGTAATTGACGTCAAATTAAAGCTGAAAGTAAGAAATCCTAGCTATGTACACGTTAAAAATTGCATGATGTGTGCGATATACTTGAGTCAAAGTGTGCAGGGATTCGCGTCCTATAAATAACAACTTCTCAAGAAGTAATGGATGGGTTTAGCTTGTTTAGCTTCGTCACGTGAGGGCTTGGTTTAGAGCAATTTTATTGAGCTTCAGTTGTTGCTTTGAATGCAAGTAAAAATAACTAAGGCCACTTTTAACGCTTGCTGGTTAAGGAGGAAGCTTACTGCAAATGTAACAGAGTCCAATTTGATGTCATTTGACCAGTGCGTGTGACAAGTTTGGCAGCAAAGGACCAGAAAGAGTATGTAAACGAGGCTATGGTCTAGTGAACACCAGATTTTACTATGCACCTCCTTATGGGGCCAGTATTAAACAACTCCTGCGGTCTCCTGGCTAAAAAAATCAATTCATGAAAAATATTTCCGAATTGAAGGGGGCCAACCTTAGAGAACAAAGTCCTATCGTAGTAAATCACGGACATGGGCCAATCATTGCTTCAACCATCGGTCTCGATTATTAATAAACATACGAGTTTAGATAATTTGAATTCTTTAACGCCACAAAGCTGTCTTCAAGACTCCTTTTTCCCAAAAATGTTCTCGTTGTAATGTAAAATGTATGAAAATTATCAAGGAGTCTGCATTGTTCCGCAGAATCTGGGACAACCATTGCAAACAAACCCATACTGTCATGCGACTGTAAGGTAAACAACACGAGAAGCCCGCGATGGCCCGCAGAATAAAGCGTCAACTGGATCAGAAACTCCGCCTAAATCACGATTTACTTAACTACATCTAAAATTATTACTCCCAGCCGGTAATTGTACAAAATGACTAAAGTCTTAATAATCCGACACTAAAGCGTGAATAATTTTTTTTAAAATGGCCTAGAGACTACGATTCAAGCAACTTAAAATAACGAAAAAATACGAAAGCCTAAGAAATATGATGGATGAATGGAGATTCTATCGACACAATCTATATGGCCTACTGGAACATCTGGAGAATTCACCCGAATAACGGGTAGTAAAAACCTAATTCTCTACTCTGGAAAAAATGCGAATTTGTTTCTTGAACAGTGCCCCGGTAATTTCTTACCGCAGGCTCTGCCTGTTTAGCAAAGGACAAATAGTAACATACTGTTTGCCAAATGCAAGCATAATATCTAAGCTATATTTTATTTCAAGCTTTTATTACCTATAACATATTGTTGTGTACTCATCTTCATTTTCCCGTTCAATTCACAGCTTTCCGCTGCTTTCCGTTTTTGAGACTTTCTCACTCCATGTCATTTCTATTTGCTTCATAACTTCAGAGGCATTCGTGCATTAGAATATGGGCAAGGGAGGGAAAACATGCTTTAAAAGAACATTTGAAAAGAAAGAATTAAAAGGAGCTTCCCATGGGTATTGCTCTGAGGTTTGTCTTGCAACTCCAAGACTTAACTGACGGTCTAAACAATTCCCTTGCTGAAAAGGTTTAAGACTGTATTCCCAAAAGTAAACGATTTTTGGCAAGGGCGATTTATATTTCAGACAACGGACGTGGGGTTCTGGTGGACCTATTGGATTGGCGCATTATGTCTTAATTTGACGAACTAAATAAACGAATTCACGCTTTGTCGGTTATCAATAGTACGGGAACTGCATGTCCGATGGTCTTTGCTGTCCCATCTGCTGTTGCTGTTGATAATTTAGCAGTTTTTGCTGCTGTGCATTTGGTGATGGCATACTCTGAGGAGTTTGCTGATGACCGTACGGAACTTGGCCTCGAGCTGACTGTTCGAAACCTCGACTGCCTGACGATTGAAGCATTTGTCTTGCTAAATTTATTTCGCTGACTGGTAAATTATAAGGAGAAGACTGGCCTCGACTGCTTCCAACTGCACTTGAATCCATGTAGTCGTAAGCATTGTCCGACCCTGGAAGATTGAACTGGCCGGCTCCTGGCCAATTTGGTTGGCTCGCGCCATACATTGCCTGGTCATACTGTGACGTCGGGGGCTTACCTATTGACGTTTGTGTTTGCTCTTGCTGACGTCGGGCCAATGCTCGAAGCATCTCCCCAGCCTGCGAGTTTGAGAAATCTGAAAAAGTGGGCAAAAAGCTGTTAATCGTCAGTTTCTAAATAAGCCCTAAATAAATTATTCCATCAATTATCTATCATCGGTATCTATTCAGTCACAGAGTTACAAAATAAAGTTTTAATCCTAATTACAAATGAGGGTCATATATATAAAACAAATGCATGCTTTGCATACTGTAAAAAATAGTGTGCTATGGAGTTGTGACCGGCTGGAGCAGTGATAGAGATCTTCGAGAATACCGGGTAAATGCATTCAAATTGTAGGAAACCAAACAAAAACAATAGGATATGCTCCACTGCCCAGTGCAAAGTAATTAATGAATCCTTTCGATTAGTTGGAAGGCAGTTGCTTACCAACAAAAGGACTTTGCTGCATAAACTTCTCATCTGTTGGCATTCTCTCAAGAGCTCCTCCGTACTCCAATTTTCCGGACTTCGTTTTTCTATTCTTTCCGGCTCCACTCTTCCTTTTGCTACTTTTTCCACGATCGGAATCATCCTTCAAAGACGACAAAGTTCATTAATAACCCATTAAAATTTCCAAAGAGCGGTAAGAAAACTGTCGACATATTTTATCAAGGTGTGTATGTGTTATATAACTAAAAATGCTCGTTAACTGCGAGCAATGAAAAATGAAAGTATTGTTTGCCATAGTAAGCCACGTATCAAGGAGTTTATATGATAAAGTCAACGCTAAAGATGATGAAATCAACAATGAGATAATAATGATTATGATGATGATTATTGATGACGAGAATGATAATGATAGAAAGATGTTGATGACGAAGACGATTTATAATTGTTGATGATTGATGCTGATCATGATGATTATAATGATTGAATGATTAAAATGATGATGATGATGATGACTGATATTAACGATAACCGTGATGATAAAATGATAATGTTTTTAACGAATATGTAAATGCAATGTAATTACCTCTGATACTATCGTTGCAGAATTTCCTTGACTGAATCCTCCTAGGAAAAATAACACAAAACGACTCAGCACATGTAGAAAGTTACCATAGAAAAGGACACAGAAATGTAGTCTCCATGTTACCAAAATGACAAAGTAGAAAAAACAGTGAATGTCTCTGATACAAAAAATGGATATAAAAGCTGTAGTGGCCAGTAACATACCCTGGGTACCAGAGCCGCAGAGGAAAGGAAAGGAGGTAAGAACGGGGAAGGAGGTAAGAACGGGGTAAGGAAATTGCAAAGATGAGGAATGGGAACGAAAGTACCATCAACACAACATAAACAGAAAAAAGTACGATTAATAATTAAAATCCAAATTTGATGGTTTATGTGCTATTGCCCTAGTTCATTAATATTTTTTTCACCAAAAATCTTGATTATTTAGAGCTGGCTCGAGAAGAGGGGTTTCGATGGGATCACTTGTGGGGTAAACAAACGTGGTATTTTAATGATCCCTTCCCTTTTTTAATTGCAAAGATGTTGCAATAATTTAGTAAGACGATAATTTGGATTTGCTATTTACAGCTAAAGTTTGCTGTCTTTCGGAGAAGATGGTAGGTTATTGTTTATACACCAACTACAACGCAAAATAACTTCAAAGTACACTTCCCTGTCCCTAAAGGAACGAAATTGAAAAAATCTTTGCAAAAGAACCTAATAATTTATCAGGAAAAAATAAATCGGGGAAAATGACCAAAGTTTTCCATAAGTGGCTGAATTTTTCTTCAATTTACTTTTTAGCAGGTTATTCTAAATCTCAATTTCTCTCTGTACACTGCCCCCCCCCCCATAAGGTATATTAGTTCAAGAAATGTATCGTGGCGCAGCAGCCACACCACACTGTCTCTGGACTGTGTTTTCTATGCACAAAATTAGATTGTAAAACTCTCAACACAAATAACTTCATACAAGGTTTGCTTTTTGGAGAACGTCTTCACAAGTTCCTCTAAGATCTTGGTAAATTTGTTCGAAAAAGTACGTCTAAATTGTATATGGAAGATTGGCTTTATACTGCGTAAGACAAATCAACAGCAGGGATTTCAGGGAAACAGAGGTCAGAATTTCAACTTACTCGAATCCACAGCTTGGTGTGGATACGGGAATGAACCAGGCATTTCTTGGAATTTCGAAGATACGTCATTATATTGAGGTGAGCTGGGTACGGAGCTGTCAACTGACGAATCCGGCTCACTTTTAGTGCTTACTGGAACTTTGTCCAACCGATTCCTGTAGAAAAAGGAAACGATACTTTAATCAGTAGAAAAAGAAGTGAAAATTCCTTTTAACGATGAGCTAGAATAAAGTGAATTATCGAATGTGAATAAACAAAGCGAGACTAGAGGTAAAATAATTGCATGCGGTAATAACAATCATGGATAGGCTTTCAATTTTACAAAAGGGTAAAAAACGACGTGAGAAATTATATTTGAACATCACGCTTCCCTTCCTGTCTGCTTTCCAGCTATTCTTAAAAGACTATTCGATTTTCTTGGTAATAAGCGGTTAGCTGTTTAGTTCGTTGGGTGTTTAGAAAATAAAGAAATAATTGAAAATGTTACTGGCTTACCGGACCGGGCTGTTGGTGCAAATGATGTATTCGGGCTCGTCTGTATAAGGATTTTGAAAACTGTAACAACTTGCTCTCAAGACAATATATTCGCCATTCTTGTGACGAAATTTGAATTTTGCTGTTAACGGCTGTCCTTTTTGTGAGAGAACTGTAAAAATAAAATTACTGGGGTCATTTATAATCAGACTCCCGACATAACACTGTATTTACCGCCTTTAAACGAACGTTAGGCCTTTAAACGAACTGTGTAACTAGAACCAATGTTTTAGGCCAATCAGGGTGTCTGCTTATATCTGTACAAACCAGTTAAAATGCAGATACGACAAAGAAAAACAACACCAATACTCGCCCAACGGACTTTTTATTACACTCATTCTTCAATACAAAGCTGTATAGAAAACTACCACCAAACAAGTAGTCCTGAATGTGAAGGTCGCTATGTCTGACGAAAGCAAACAGGCTGATTGGTTTAAGATATACTTCACATTGTTGTCTCTGGGACAGGGTCAGTCTCAAATGAATCTAGTCCCATAGTCTATTCGATAAATAGACATTCAGCTCAAGATAAATCTAATTTGAGGTTGTAATGTTTCTTTTAAGCGCCAAACCTTAATTTTTTTACATCATATCCCAAGTTTTCAAATTCAATTTAATACGAAATTTAATGAAAAATAACTTCACTGCTTAAACACATTTAAACGGTCGCTCTTTAAATCTTTAGTAACTCTAGATTAATTGTGACTTGATTCTGCAGACTTACTGGCTATGAAAGAATATTGATATGCCTGCATAACGATCAATCGGAGAGCTGAATAGCATAAACATGAGTTAAAATGTTCGTAGATTGGAAAAAAGTAGACCTATCAACCTATCAACCTATCAAACAAAGATAAAATTAATTTTAGCAACCCACTTTATTATCTCAATTAGACTTTGGACTACGATTTGGAATTGAAGAAAAAAGAATTAGATCACCTTTTTTCCATTAATTGTAACATTAATTGTAGGTTTTTATCTTATACTGCATCACTGCATTGTATACTTGATGAAAGGCCACTTGAAAATCAGCACTTGCTAAAGGGTCACTCCCTTAAATATGTTGAGTTAAATCAAGTCAACATAACTTCATTTGGTTTGCAAAGCTATGTATAAACAACCTTAAATTTTCTTACCTTGCTTGAAATTTGCAAACATTTCTTCTTGATTTTCAGGATGATAAAATTCATAGCAATTCTTTCCAAGTAATTCTATTGGTTTGTAACCAAGGATCTCTGTTACACTAAAGAAAAGAATAAAGAAAAATAAGGAATTTCAAAATGTCAGCTTCAATCAACATATGGATGAGTTACGAACACAAATTTAGCTTATTAATTTACCACTAATTATTGGTTCACAGTGAGGTATCCATTACCACCTCTTGTACATTATATTAACTATGATTATATGCACGTACACTCCCCTCACGAAATTATCCGGACAGTTTCGAATTTGGTTGCGAATCTGTTGATAGAGAAATTTATTTACAAATTTCAAAGGAGAGTCCAAAATAGATATGAAATAGAAAGTCAGTCAAATACAGTACACTCCCCTCACAAAAAATTCTGCACCACCTTGTTCAAAATTACTGGCACTTTTTGTCAACTTTTCAACCATACCAAACATTTGAATGCGTGAATTGGGTGAATTAGGCACATTTTGTAGCAAATTTTGGTTAATCCTTTGCTTCGCAAAAATAAACATAATTTTAATAAATTGTAAAGAAATTTTAGACTAGTAACTTTTGCTTTATTTCATATTTTGTCGGATGGCCTCCAAGCATCTAGGCAGCCGCCATTTGCACCGGAACTGAATTAATATTGCAATGAAATATCTTCGAAAACAGGAGGAAATCTCAACAAAATTTTAAAAAAGTTTATTATTTTGTCTAAGAAGATTCCATTTCTTGTACTTGTTTAATGAAAACCAGTTGTTTTCAATTACATCAACTTTAACATTAACTTTGACGGGCTTATTGAAAGACCAAGCTCTTGCAAAACGAACAAAACCTTTCATTGAGCAGCACCTACGATGATTCCTCAGTTAAATGTTGGATTCGTATGGTCATTCATTGAATATGCGAAGAGATGTTGAGTATTGCTCAGTTGTTTTTGAGAGATGCTTGATGGAATTCTAAGAATATTTAACGAATCATTTCGTTTCTCTGAAAAAAATGTTGCTTTGTGTGGCCACTTGAAAGGTTGGCATGAAACTCAGTCTACTTAATAAAAAGTTCGATTAGTTTGGCAAGGGCTTTAGTCAACAAATTTACTGATCTACAAAAAACTTTCCAACCTCTCCATACTCTTACTTCAAATTTTTTTGCGGTCTGAAATCGCTTAAGAAATTTCCGCAAAAACCATTTTATGTTCAAATGCTTCCTTATACACGTGTAAAGACAGCACTTTTCGAGTTCATACATTGTGGCTTGTTCATCGCATTGAATTTCTAGATCTATTTAGAAAAACAATGTCTAGACAAATCGAAAACTAGCACTATTTTATGAAATGGCTTACGCTTGGTCAACAAAACTAAATCGGCCATCTGTAGTTTGCCTCGTTATAAATTCAGTTGCCAGGGTTACTTCATTATCTTTTGCTGTTGCCATGGTAGTTGACTGCATTCTTCCTATGCAAACGAGACAGCATTCACCATCCTCTTGATCGATGTCTTGTGTGAGAACAGGACTGAAGTTCTGTAGGGGAAAGCAACTCTTTTCAATTAGCGAAGAACAAACAATCACAAATAGAGAAATACGAATCAAAGACCACTTAGAACTCTCGTAGTGTTCCTTTGCACGTGACAATATTTCATAACAATAGCTTAAATATTAGCTGCAAAAATGCACTGTATAAGGCAAACAAATAATTTTAAAAACTCAAGAAGGAACGAAAAAATTTGCTGCTTGGTCTTCCCATTTCTCATTACGTTGCATCGCCCCATTTTCTGAATTCGGTTGTTATCAAACGCAGTACATCGATTACAATCAATCAAAAACCTTGTAAATAGTAAAAATCTTCTGTTATGAAAAGGAGAACACATTACATACCATACCATTATGGGAAAAAAATTACACTGTTATGGGGGGAGGGGGACATACAAACCTACAAAAAATGCTAGCCAAAGAACTAAATTTCTTAATTCTTACCGGAACATATCCCGTGCAGTGAATAAAAGCATAGTCCTCTCCGTCGTAGGTTTTGCGTTTTTCTTTACACCTATTTTTTATTTCATTCATTCGCGAATCGACACTCTCAATGTCGTCTTCAATTATTCCGCATTTCATACGAATTATGAAATTTCGTCTTGAACCAACACCAAGTCGTCCTGTCAGTAAACAATCTGATTAATACAGTAGATCAAGCAAGAAATAAAAGACAAGTTTTAAAAGAACCTAAACATATGCAAGTTGATTAATCAGCGAACTTAAAATAAAACTTAGAAACTACAGTTTTAAATGGATATTTCCTAACTATCGAGAAAAAAGAGGTAACTGAGAGCCCTGAATTGTTTTAAAACCAAGTATTTTCATTACTCTCTTTCAGTTTCTAAACACGAGTGAAAGAGGTCGTTATAAAAATGTCAGATTATTTTATGGGGCCAAGTTTCTTAAAGAGGGCGCTATTGGTTTACCAGGACTCATTTGGGGATTAACTGTTGTCACATTTCGATAATCACTTAATGTTTGAAACTGGAGTGACCTGTTTGAAACAGTAAGTTTTCTAGAAATCGCGTCAAGTGTTTGTATTAATTTCTACCTAGCTTACGAAGGTAGCTTATCGATCGGTGTCCTGATCCTTCCGCTTGATATGAACGCACTATGGATTTCTAAACATAGAATTTCAGACATCTGACAACTCTCTACACTATAAGCGATAGTTTGGTCTGCGACCCTAACCACCAAGCTATTATCACACTCAAGTAGGCAACCAAGACATCTTACGCACACTCAAAAAATCATGAAAGCAAGAGGTGCTCTTTTAACAAAAAGAGTTATTTACCTGGCCCACCATCTTTTCTTACACTGCCAGCTTAAAAGAAAAAACATACGTAATCACCATTTCATACCACGATGCGATGTGAAAAAAAAAACCAAATCCAACAATTAGCTTATTTTTTTTAGATTTCATAACATAGATTACCAAAAATCAATTAAAAATTTATAATTTTAGCTTTGAATTCTATCACGATGTAGGTATAGATTGTCATTCAGACTTTAGAGCGACACAGGCTTTTATTCTTTAATTGAAAGTGTGTTTCATTTTTTAATTACATGGAGCTACAAATATCTCCACCTATAGGTACACAACAAAATAAACTGAAAGATACAGAGCAAAAGACAGTGGCAAAACTTGACAAGACTTGAATATACTTGTACCTGGAGAGTACAAAATTGTACATTAACAAACGCTCAGATATAAATTTTTTGATTTGGAACTCAAATCTACCAAAACACTGTTCAAAAACAGCTTACCAAAGTACATAACTTCTGGAATTATCATCATATTACTAAAATTCCTGATCCTGTAAGATTTCTGAAAAGATGTTGAAGCAAACCCATAGTTCTCCATCCAAGGGATACATTGAATCCAGCGAGTTAATGTAAATGGGCTCAAAACTTACTTTTAGGATCCAAGACTCTTGTCTCGTGGCTCAATTCTGTTCCAAGTTGGTCTTTAAGTTTGTCTCTGTCTTCCGGGTGGATAAGATCATAAATTGACTGATTAATCCACTCCTCCTGTTGCATGATTAAAAAATATCAAGCATGATGCCTTGTAAAGGTTGTGTAAATAAAAGCAGAAATATTAATAACAGTAAAATAATAACAACATTTAAACAGCATATATATATCCAGGGATTGCTTTGAAATTCATCTGTTAATTTTATCAAGCTTTTTGGCTAAGAGGAATTATACTTGTAAAACCAAAGAATTTTATAGCAGGGGAGCACCATTGTGGAAAAAATAAAACATCAGTTTCAAATTAAGAATTTTATTATAATTAAATACTGGGTCTCTTAATAACACATTCAATGAGACAAAACATCAGCAGTTTTAGAGTTTTAAAACAAAAAATAGAGTTTGTTACCTGTGACTTGTTTAGCACTGGCGTTATCGAATCTGACACATAAACAACTCTTCCAGTTGTGCATGATAAGACAAATAAAAAACCATCTGCTGCCTACAAGTGGGTTGAGAAAACAAATAAATACCATTTTACTGTCATTCCGATTTGAAATCTGATAACTGACCTTCAGATAAAAAGATTCTGATGGAAAAGAAAGGATATTAAACAAATAGAATACAATAAATTCCCAAATAGGATTTTACAGAAAACATAGAAGTTAAATTATAAAGCAAAAGCATTCAAAAGTGAAAAAAGAAATGAATTCAGTACAAAAGGAATTTCAATTTAATAAGTTTTGGTCAAATTGCACCAAATTAACAAATTAGATCCGAACATTTGGAGCTTTGAAAAGATTGATTATGCAAAATATTTCAAGAAATTTACAATCATCAAAATGGGTACATTTTACCTCTAAAACCAGGTGCTTTAATTCCTGATCAGAGAGAAAGGAAGGTTTGGAATTTCCATCTGTTGGAGGTGGAGATCCACCTACAATTAGGAGGGAAATTTGCTGTGATGGTAAGTTAAAATTAAGTGGATTTTGATAATTTAATTTCCTTCAAAGTTCCAATTCTGGCTTCTTTGCTTCTTTTCTTAATTGCCCTATGTTCATCATTCCACATTCTGTTTATTCATCCATTTATGTTTTAACAATAATGGCTAGAAAAAATTTGCAGATAATCTTGAGTTTTGAGCTACCAAATTTTGAAGTTTATGCAAATATCAGAAAATTACAACAGAGCAAATGCTGTATAATTTTAACCTATTGTACTATTAAAGTGTACATTGATTGAAAAGAAATTTTATTATGAAACAATTCCATATTCTAATATTTTCAATTGTTTTTCATAATTAAACATCTTTCAACAAAAATATGTTAGCACTAAATATTTCAAGATTTATAGGTTCAGTACTGTCTGAAGAATAAAAGCACTGGGGGTATCATTGGAACAAAATGGATTGCTCATTGGAAACAATATAATTGTTTATGAACTTTCCAGTTGGTGGTTGCAAGGCCCCAAACAATCAAGAAGCTACCACCCAAGCAGTTGAGGCCAATTATGGTATGGTCATGATACCAAAGTTTTGTTAATTACACAAAATTTCAAAGTAGCAGATTACCCCTCAATGACTTTATATATGTCACTGCCATCTTTAAAATTGTCAATTTGTCTGGCTTCTTTGGTAATCCATTGCAAGTAGGAACCATGTCAGATAGTTCATTAATATATGCATTCATTTTATTTCTTCGTCTTCTTTCAATCTCACTATGATTCTCCCTACAAATGCAAAATAGTTTTTTACCCCTTAAAAGGCCCCTTTTTCTCTTTAAATGCCTGGCATTCTAAGTATGATTTAATTTGGCAAAAGCTGTACACTTACACCTGATATTTGACACAAATTGACAATTGTTTATTGTTTTATTTTCAATGCTACAACACTTTCAAAGAATTAAAAAATCCTGAAGTCAACTGGACATCAACAACAGCTCAAAGCCACCAGTAGTAAGAATTAATTTAAAAAAATTCTTATACAATATTGGCAAAAAAGGCTTGGAATTTATTTTCAAAAAATAACTGTGAAAATACTTTATATGCTTTGGCTTGTAATAGGAATACCATACATGCCAACATTCTTATATAAGATTGAGGGAGCTTTATTAAAATATAATTGATAATACCATACATCTTGGACATGGTTGAGGTCCAGGGGCGTCGTGGCAGATGAATTCTACAGGGGGCCAGAATGAAAAATTTTCCGAAAAATTTCTTTTTAATCAGATAGAAGCATTTCATGCTATAGTGTAAGGGAGGGGGGGGGAGAGAGAAAACACATAACCTTTGACTTAGATTGAAAGATTTTTAAAATGCACTTTTACCTTGTCTCTGTTTCTTCATACCTATTGTGAAAGTCTCTGACATCTCACTACCTTATAGGTTGGTAGATTAGGACCAAGGTAAAATAAGGTTACTACCTGAGGCAGCACCATGGTTGCCGTCAAAGAGCAAATATTTTAAATAATCTTAATGCTTCAAGTTTGCTGGAAATTGCATTCTTTGGAGCAAATTTAATAATAAAATCTTATTCTGAAAATGAATATCCACTGGCAGAAAGCGGTGGTATTAATTGACATCTTCCTTGTTTCACCTTACGCAACATTATGTCTTCCCTGCTACCGTAAGCCTAAGACTTGCAGAGTCTCAGAAACTTGTTTTGGCAAAAATTCTGAGTTATTACATTTTAAGGTGGAGATAGTGAGCGCTTAGTTAAGGTTGAGCACTTTCTGTCAATCAAAAGATGTTTAAACAAAGAAATGTGGTTTCCGGCTGTGGACCATTCGGATTTCACCAGCAAAATCAATATACCCTTGAGATTGATTACAATAACTCATTTCAGTGAAAAATATCTCTCTTACAAGAAATTAAAAACTCTAAAAGCTCCAGGAGTTTTTCTCTGATATGATGGTAGCGTGCACAAGGTCATTATTCAGCGAAAATATTGGGAGACTTCTGCAATTTGTGGGAGTGTTGGCATGTATGGAATACATAACCGTAATGATAATACCTTGCAAACCTCTCTTTAGTTTGCTCCTTTGTTTCATACCTGTCAAAAAGGAGATACCAAGTTAAGCATTTTGGAGCATCATGGCATGTTGGGAAGGGGAGCAAACTTCAGATTGCTTCACACTGAGTAGGCTTTGTCATTGTGTATAATATTTCACAATGTATATAAGTTTTGAGCTGTTTTACTGTGACATTTATTTGAAGACAACTGCTAAACAGGTAATTCAATTGTAAAAGCTTATCATGTAACAGAACAAATGAACATTCCAAAATATACAAATGTTTACTTTTCAAGTCACTCTTGACATCCAAAATTCTTTAAATTTTTTGTCCATAGGATAGAATGAGCCCTGTAAGTTTCTCAACATGCCCTTGTTCAGTGCCTTTGCAATGTGACATTTTAATATTAGAGGCTAGAATCAAGGACACTATAATAAAGAACACTAACAAAAAAACAATCATAACAGAACATGATGCAGGCTGTTTGTTTAAGCAGATGACAAGCACAGATATAAATCCTTTACAATGATTCAAATTCCATCATGATATTTTCACTGACTGCTCAAAAGGTGAAACTCAGAACAAAATTATTTGTTGATCATAAGCAAAACAGCCTGGGCAGTAATTCAAAATTTACCAGCAATTAAAGAATTAAAGACAATCTAAAATGGATCAATTGGAAATTAGCATGTATATATGCATCAGTGGTAAAGGTGGCTTACTTTATATTTTTTAACTAAAACATGTTTAACAAGTATGGCCCTTGATAACATATCAAAGGTAGATACTGTCAAGTCTGTGCAACTACGTGCTTTTCTTATAAGAGCACTTTGCTCTAGTTTCAGTCTGACATTCAAGGACAGAGACACAGGGGGGGGGGCTTGGCACCCAAAAAAACCTAAGTAGTATTTGTAAATTACTTGTATTTCATGAAATGTGGCTGTTTTTGCACTTTTTTATCAGGGCTGTCCCCTCTCCCCCAACAAAAAGTTGTATCTCGGTTTTGCTGGCATTTTTCATTTTTCCTCAATCAATCCAACCACATATATTTCTTATATTGTTTCTTAATTTAAACTGATATTAATGGTGTTGAGCAGATTCCATTAAAATTAGTCTGTTTAATTGATATTTCAATGCTACTTTGCTTATCACTTTCTATTATTCTGTTGCTATTCTTTAATTTTTCAATTTTTGCTTGTATTTTCTTTCTTGACTTGATTGAACCTCAGCCTATCTTGTTTCCTGCTTTGTTTTTATTTTTGGGGAAATCTCAGACTGGTGTTATCAAAATGTTGTTGGCATCAAAATTCAGACTATTTTTGCAAAGAGGAAAACAGGCCTGCCAGAACCATTCATTTGAATTTTTTCTTGCAACTTTAAGAAAATACATTCTAAAATATCATGGATCATTCTGAATTGAGTTGTTAATTGTTAATTTGCAATTCAAAGATATATATCATATCATTTGCAATAACTCAAAACAACAGCACTAGGAAATTATTGGGCTCTCAACTCAACAAAACAGATTTTGCAAAAAATTTGAAGAAAAAGTTTCCCTTTCCCGCAGCATATTTAGATTTAATTAAGCTTATCAAAAAAATTGGTTTCGGTTGCTATTCATTATAAAAATAATTTCAATTTCTGATCAAGTTCAAGGATCCTAGTCTCATATAATGACAAACACAAACTCTTACAAATTGAAAATACCAAAAAACAACTACAAAAATATTCTTCATTAAACACATACTTAGAGACTTTAATCCCATGTGGATCTACAGACATCATTTCATTGTCTTCTTCTGCTTCTTCTCTGATAAAAAACAATAACAAACATACTTAGTCACTGACTGCTGGCTGCTAGTGTCAAGAGAAATAAACATCAAACATTTTATAGTCATTGAGCAATTTTACTCCCTATCACATTTCCAGACAAGACAAGTTAAAATTTTGTCATATAATGATAAACATAAAACCAAATAGAATTAAGATCGGCCAATTTACGTGCGTTCATGGGTTGCACAGATTTCCAAGCTCATTTGGCGAGTAAAGGATAGTATATATATTGCAAAATTTTGACATTATCAATATGAGATCTATTTTGCCCTGGTCGTTCACTCGAGCCATTCATCAGCGTAACGTGTTTTTGACAGTCTAAACAGGCGATACAAACCTTGTTGCTCCTGATCTACTAAAATACAATCCAAAACGACAAAAAGCACTTTGAAAATTTTAAAACGAATATCACTTTCAACATTGCACAAAACAAGTTATTTACTTCACCTAGTTTCTTCGTTTGAACCAGGATTAAGTACCGCACATTTCTTGCTGATGACGCAATAAATGTAATTACTTACTCTTTTATATTTTTGGATCTTTTCCGCAATCTTCCACCTTTGTTCGCAGAATCAGAAGAATTGTCCGAGGGTTCTGAAACACACAGATCAACTCGTTATCCCCGAATAACGTAATAATATAGCGTGATTAAGGTAATTTTGTTTGGGGAACACAAGAAGTCGCAATACAAGTGTTCATCCAAGGCGAAAGGTGACAAGTCAGATATCCTAAATTACCCTTCGAACAGAGACGCGTAAATCGTATGTCTTGACAAGCAAAACTTACCAGCCATATTTGAGACAGTAAATTTCGTGATTACGACGAAATCCGTATGTCTAGACTGCTGTCTGGAAAACTGACCAACAATACACTATACCAACCATACAAAAACGTACGGAAGCTGGAAAGTTATCGAATTGGGAACTGTCCTTTGACACAATTTAACCTTCGCTTTAGCAATCACGAACGCCATTACTTCACATTTTTATCCATAAATTTTTTTAATTGCAGCCAATCATAAACCTTTTGCCACAAGCTCTTCCGTTTTGTTGGGCCTAGTAAAACTGTGGAAGTAAATTTAGGACGATAATGAAAACAACGTGCAACTAACACCGAACAACTTGCAGACAATTTGTCTAACAATATAATCCTTGGCCTAAAGCATTTGAATGGCTTCTCATTGTCCTGGTTTCTTTTCCCTTTGTTAACTTCGTGACATTCTATTGTTCTATTACAACTTTGTGCAAACCGCTGTCAATCAACAACTATCAACAGCACAGAATCATCGCTGAACCAGACGAGGCTGCGAGCGTGTGTTGCGAATATGAGGCCTAGTGTCGCGTGCAATTTTAGGTTCTTTCATCTAACAGGCAACGCGGAGAAGGGGCCTGGGGGGCTTTAGCCCCCCATTTTTTACAAAAAAGGTGGGGGTGGGGGGCTGGAAGCTGTAGCACACCTACTTTTTGCTGAAGTATGATACAAAGTCTGTGGCATCAAATATAGTGGTGGCAGACTATCATGCCGTAAAAGCTCAAATAAGCCCCCAGCCAGTCAACAAAGCAGGAACATCTACAAGATTTCAAAGTTCAAATCAGAGCTAGACAAGAACTGTCAACTCTAAGACAAATGAAATTAGCAACAGAAGATATAAAAAATGAATGTGTTTATGGTCGAATATTTGCATTCTATTTCACATAGCTCCCACATATTTTAAATTGGGGCGCTAAAAAGAGAGGGGGGCTTACTGTAAAAATGTATGATTGTTTTTGAGGCCTATTGGAGATAGCTTAGAAAAGAGGAAGGCTAAATTAGATCTTTGATGGTAAGTGTTGGAGTTCCCCCCTGGCCCCCTCCAAAATGTCTCCAAGCCTCCTCCAGCGTCCCTGGCTTTGGCTCGATTTTGCGTGCAAAACGCAACCAGGAAAAGACGATTTACAGTAATAGGCAGATGAACGACAAATTTTTGGATTTGCAACACTGAAAGCTGAGCACCTCAGCCCCCTGTTCCATATACTGTATATGAGTAGAATCTCAAGATTAGCTAGATGATTGCCTAACAGGGGGACCCAAGTCACCGATACGGAACCCAAATAGCCATAATTTATAAAATCCCCACTCCAACACTTTGCGTCAGCTAGCACTTTAATAGTCTATCTAATCTGAAAAAGAGGCGTGTGTTAGTAAGCTATTCCAGATGCTCTTAGCTTCACAATTGAGCTTATTTGCAAAATTTTTGTTATAGGTCTTTCTTTAGGGTTTTCAGCTTGCATCGGAGCCCCTTGTTAAGTTGGTTCCCATACTCTATGTCCACCATTTGCAGAAAGGTGAAAGGAGCTGCTTAAATCCATTGTCAAAAGCTTGCTCTAGTTTTCTTCAAATTGATTGAACAAAATTAGATAATTTGGCTTTTGCCTCAAGAAGATACTAACTTTCTTTAAATAATTTCTCATGTCCACATTAGCGCCCTTTTACTGCCTTAGATAATAGATAAAAACATGTAAAATATTTGGTGCATTGAAAACTTAATAATTCTGTTAATCTTGTACAGCCTTACCTACTTCATTTGCTTAGAAAAGTTTAAATGTTCTTAAAAATTTACAGTATAGTATTAGTCTTAAATTTGAAGTCAGAAGAATAATTTAGCACAGTTGTAATACACTAATCAAGTTTTTGTCCTACATTTTCAACGCTAGAAACTTTAGTACGGCATCTGGATGCAAAAATATATAACTTTAGGCGACTGAGGATGATAAATTTTTTAAAATTAGTTTTTTATTTTGAGAAATTTTACAAAAACTAGGCACAAGCATTTCCAAAAACCTTGTACAAAAATTTCCAAAGTTCATTCCAAAGAAATGGGTTGATTGGTTCAGGGTCATCTCGACTTATTTACCATTTTTACAAAAAATAGTAATTGTTAGCAATGAAAATGTAGTGGAACATTCATGTGGTCTTTTAGATCATAAAAAAGAAAAGTATGAATTGGACTGGAAGGTTTATAACCAATTTAAGTGGCTGATTACATGGAGCGGGCTAGCCCGTTTACCAGGGCTGGTCGGGTCACCCGGGCTGAAACTTTTTAGCAATTATAAGGAGATCTAGCCCGGCCTGAAAATTAGCGGTAAAATTCTTGGAAAGTACATTGATTTTAAACATGATTCCGTCAAGAAACTGTTTTCAGCTATGAGGGTTTTGATTTGGATTGTTTTCATTGCTCTTTCTCCAGATTCATGGTTTCATTTGTGATTCATGATTTCATGATTGGAAAGTTTGTTTAACACAGAACATGCTATTGATATCAAGATCCACCAAAAATATCCCTTCTCGGTAACATGGCCAGTCCGCTCCATGTAATCAGCTCCTGAGAATGCCAAACAGTTAGATACAACCCAGTATAAAAAAGTTAAATATTTACCATCAGTCAATTGACCAGATCAAATTTAGAGAAATAATATTGACAACTGATGATAATTCCAAGATTTGTTAGAAAGCCTTCTGGTCACACAAGGTTTGCATGCGTTTGTTCTATCATTTAGGAAATTTGAAATTGTAGTCAGGACAAAACCCAAGTTGCATTTACTAATACTATCACGTTTGCATTTGGCCCAAAAGTATTCGAGAGACATTGTCGTTGCCTTGTTTGTTTCATTTTTTTGATAAATTCTACATGGCTTTTTCATTTATAAGACTTACACATGTAATAAGACTTACACATGTATATATTTTTTTTTAAATTTTACAATGTAGCGTGGGATAAAGTAATCAGTGCTACCATAATTATTTTGCCTTGTGATTTGAAAAATGTAGCAGAAAATCTCTTCTTGCAACGTAGAGTTGTGGCTAGGTTTTAAGTATTTATGCACATAATTATATTGTTTTTATCTTTTAATAAAAGTAGAAATATTGTTTTAATACAAGGGAACAATAAAATGTTGATGCGGGTAATCCGGGTACCAAAGCCTCCGTGACAGAGTGGCCTTCCACTGTTTTTTATCCACTTTGTCACGAAGGCTTGCTACTGGGAGTATTATTCCAGGAGCCTTGAATTTTAAAATAACTTTTTTGCTGCTTTTGTGTCGGGACTTTGACAGGATTAAAACTTTAAATCTTTGTTATAATGATACTGAAGATGCTACAGTTTAAAAAGGAAAAGCCTTTTTGCAAAATTAAAGTTTAAAAAGCCAGGGAAATGTAAAAACATATAAAAGTAGAGCACATACGATAACTGCATAAGCCCATGCAGCTCTGTCTACATGGTAAGAAGTATTCTACATCAGGCTTATTATGGATTGGGGGGGGGGGAGTTTAGAAACTTTTAGGGGCACAGCGTGCTCAAAGCCAGGATCATGGCGATCCAATATATAGTTTAAAGAATTAATATTTTGAGAATTGTAAGGCATTTAGAGCTGTCTGCTCCTCTTTTTCTTCGTTCTCTGGACTTGTTTGTCTTAACTTTTGTATGTATATCATAATTTGTATAAATCATATCATGAAAGAGACCATATATATTAATTATATATATATAATGTACCATTGAAATTGTTGTCACTTTCTTTCCCTTTTCTAATGCTCCACTTCTCTTTTGAAATAATAATTGTAGGAACTTGAAGCTTGAACTTATTTCAATTGTGCCTCGTGTAAAGCCTATTTCAAAAAGGCTATATTATTAGTCAACACCTGTATAGCTTGCCTGCTTTCAGACTGCAGAACATTCAAACTTCACACCTAGATCGCGGCATAGACCAAAACGAATACCGATATTCAATTTGCTCTGTGACGCAGGCAAGCTTGCACAGTGCTAGTGTAGAACTTATTTCACTTCATTTACTTCGGCACGGTAGTTGCAATGTATGTGTACTAGGCCTTCGTTATCCCTGATTTCACAAAATCACCAAGCTTTGATATAACCTAGGGCTTTTTGCACGCAGGACGCTGTTAATGGCTTGTTGCTTTAATCCTTGCATGCATCGTGACAAGAGTAGGACAATAAGATTATTTTTGTTTTTGGATTAAAGCCAGACATGCAAAATTAATCTCACAGCAATTTGGATAGTCGTTTTATTTGATTTTTCGTCCAATAAAAAATTCAATGCAAAGGTCACAACGAGGTCGCAGTAAATGGAAAATCTTAATATCAGCCTGTTTGCAGCACGCCCAACTTATCACGAAAAACCAAAGCTGAATGCCGCCAGGCCAAAGAGAGGTAGGAGCGGTATTGAAAACAGTTTGGTCAGCTGACCATTACGATACTGCAAGAATCAGGGGCGGATCCAGAGCAAATTTGAAGGAAGGGCAGTTGGTAGTTGGGGCGCTGAAAAAATTTTCAAATATTGGTTACAAGAGTACGCTGTATGCAACAATTTCAGATACCTTTTCAGAATAAACAACATAACTTCGAGGTAATCCTTGAAGCAAATTAACCTATCGGTCCAAGAACTTTTCTCATCTGATTCTCATTCTTCAAAGGGGGCGCACAATTTCTAAAAAGGGGCGCCAGACTTACTTCAACTCGTTGAGGGAGGGGCAACTTCCCCTAGTTGCCCCCCCCCCTCAAATCCGCCACTGGCAAGAATGAAATTTAAAAATTCCACGAA